AAGAAAATACGTTGTCCAGGGTGCACCACGTGGAGGTAAGTCTATCGCGCACCCCAGCTCTACGAGATAAGGAAGCTTATATGAATGTAAGTTTTACCAACTGAGAAGGTAGGCAATATCTTTATTAGGTTCTAAACATACATGAATTAGCAAAAAATCGTTAATATTTAAATACCAAATATTAATTCATACCAAAAATTTATTTAATCACTTTGATGAACAAATCGAACGGAATTAATTGTATTTCAATTACGATTAAGACGTAAAATTGTCCATACTTTAAACACTACTGTTACCAACAGGAAAGAATGTAAGATAAGAAAGTGCCGTTCTCGGTAAGTGAGAATATCTCTGGAACTAGAGTTACAATTTGTTCCTTTCGGCCCTTAACATTTTCATAAAGCTTGTGGTGATCAGTTCTATTGAAGGATGGTCTTCCAGGTAATTGGAGGACGTTTTCAAATATTTCAGTATAAATACAACGGCATTGCCAGATGGCCTAATAGATAAGGCGTTATATCAAAATACGATGTCTGATCCCATTTTGATGCAATGGCTATGAGAAGATTCAGAAAGTAGCTAGATATATCTAAGTCAATTCAATTTTTGAAAAAACCTACTTGCAATGTCTAACTGTTGCACAGCAATGAAGGCAAAAGTGGCACTGTATTTCAAAATTGCATCTGAAATGAAGCCTTTTTACTTGAACAACTTGTACTCAGTCAAATAGTCACTAAACCTAAATATCAACGAAATGTGGAGCCAAAAACATTTCAGTTCGAAAAGAATTTTATAATTGCCATACATGGCTCTTCATATTTTTGAGCCGGGGTGTGCGATAGACTTAACTCCACGTGGTGCACCCTGGGCAACGTATACTCATACAGCAAAAAAGTCTATTGACTAGCAGTTGACCTCTGACTTCAAAATACCATGACCCCACTGTATGTCATATTCGAATACTTTCACACTACTCACCTCACCTTTTTCTACCTTCGTCTTTGAAACACTCTTCTGTTCCCACCCCCACCCCGTCTCGACTTNTTTACTTGAACAACTTGTACTCAGTCAAATAGTCACTAAACCTAAATATCAACGAAATGTGGAGCCAAAAACATTTCAGTTCGAAAAGAATTTTATAATTGCCATACATGGCTCTTCATATTTTTGAGCCGGGGTGTGCGATAGACTTAACTCCACGTGGTGCACCCTGGGCAACGTATACTCATACAGCAAAAAAGTCTATTGACTAGCAGTTGACCTCTGACTTCAAAATACCATGACCCCACTGTATGTCATATTCGAATACTTTCACACTACTCACCTCACCTTTTTCTACCTTCGTCTTTGAAACACTCTTCTGTTCCCACCCACCCCCCGTCTCGACTTTTTTCACTTTGATGTTCCTTCCCCTCTGTGAAGCCTAAAGTCAACTAATGGGCTAATGGTAACCATCAAAACGCCTGCCATTTTTTATAAATAAATATTTTTGAGCCAAAATTCGAAGTTTAATTGTCCCTCACCAGAAAAATCAATTTCGAAAATTGCATTTTCTTCAGTTATCCCATGTCTAAATTGAATTTGACTAAATGGACTTATTAGTCAGCGATTACATCATCTTTGTTAATTACATACATCCTTCGCTATACCAAAACGTATTTTGCTTAGCCGGGATCTCCACCGATCGGTACAACCTAAAAGAAGAAAGGCATACGCCAACTTGTAGAAATTGCGCTATCTCTTCACTAGTTCGCATTCCTTCTACGCAGATAGGGACTCCCCCCCCCCCACCCTCCCTTGCCGTTTAATCTCCCTTTAAGTTACATCGTTAAGAAAAAGTTAATGTGCCAGCATCTTAACTATTTTCGTTTTTGATTCGTTTTGCCCATAAAAGGCTCCTATGACATTGAATGTTCAGTCAAGTAATCGGTTTAATGTTTACAAAATGTACAAGAATCCCTAGTAAGTTGAAGTTAGCGCACTCCGGGAACTCTGTAGTAAACATGAGTTTTAGTGGATCTGTTCCTATTCTTAATATCACACGCTTCGGATTACCACACATCACAATCCCAAATCTTCCACTTGCATACTTTTCCCGGTTTATGAATCATGAACAGGGTTTATCTTTCTTCTATATCTATTTGCTTATACATTTATTAAAACTACATTGTAAGTCTTTTCTGTCAATTATCTTACTTGGTTCTTCTATGCTGTTTGAAGGCTGTCGGGTTTCGTATAAGCAGTTTCAGTCATGACTTTATCTGGAACATCATGATTTTCATATGGACAATACCATGATATACCTTCGCCTGAAGGTAAGTCTAATTGAAGAAAAAGAAGATGAAAGAGAAGAGGGACACCAACGGCTAAAAGAATGAGAGAAGCGGTCGTCTTCCTTTTAGAGCTTACTATTATAGTTAAATATATCTCATGCCCTATCTGAGGTTTATTACTGTGTGATCCCATTCAATTGTGATAGTCTGGTACCTTCATTATCTACTCCTTTACATTCCTTTCACTTAAGCTAATGGCTATTTAATTTCCCCCGCACGTTACAGCCTTCATTCCCTCTCCGTTTTCTTAAACATGGTTCAAACTGTATGATTTTTAACATTATTAGTAATACTTGAGAGAGACCTGGCCTTTCTATCTCCTTAATAGTTCCTTCTATCAATAAAAAGACCACTATAACTGCTTATTGGTTTACTACTAGACCGCATTTTTAATCGGATTGTTCGCATGTGCTTCCCTACTTCTAGCTACGCTTACTTACAATTTCTCAGTAGTAGTATTTTCGGAAGCAATACACTGATCGTATTCGAAATATTGATTTGTAGACGAGATTCATAATTTCTGTCTATTCTGACTAATGGCAGTGACGAGACGCTTAAAACCCTGAGGAAATTACTTTTGGCTGGGAGTGATTGCGTAGGTCACTATTTACTAATCACATATGTCGAAGTGAAGTGGAAATCTCCCTCGAAACTATTGTAGGCAAACTAATCGGCTGTGACATTCTTGAAATTGATCCAAAGGAGGTCATGTTCTTCTTTCTGGGATATGGTTGCGAAAAAAATTGACATAATTCCAAATATCAGATATTCTATATACAATTCATGTTTGTTTTAATTTTCAACGAGTTTAAGTATTCATTGTTCTCTTCCTTAAATACCTCATTGATAGTATTATATGCTATGCGGTTTTAATAGTAAAAGATATTCCTCATTTTTGTATTGTTGTCTATGACATTTTTAAGATTTTTTTCTTGTTAAAACGTTTCTACTCTATCTTGTGGATAAGCGCCAAGCTTACGAATTTGTTCAGAGTTTATTGTTTTACAAAGTAATAAGTGGCGCAATGATGTTATGACTTTACTAACTGACCATTGTTTCTAATGTCTGCTTTGGCTTCGACGACCAAGTTCGTCACCTTTTTGTGGACCGAAGATTTAAAGTTATTTCTAAAAACATAGTCTTTAACGTACCGTTTCTAATTTTAATTAATTTAAAAAAACTAGCCTCTCTAATAAAAACTTTGAAAATAGCATTTCTGTTATTTTCGACCAAAAAGTGAATGCAAATTTACAAATAGGTAAACAGTGGTTGCAAAAAAATAGCAGATTCCACATGGCCTAAATCGGATGTTATTTTCCTAAGGAAGAATGCTTTAACCGTAATTTATTTCTTAGAATAAAAACAAATTGACAACATAAAATCAGCTGATCATGTCTTTCACGTTAATCAAAAATCTAATTTAACAGATTGCGTACTTAATCTGGCTTTAGTAAAATAAATCACATTAAAATTTGTATTATTGATTAAAAGAAAATCTAATATTCGTTTATATAGACTCAGTTCGGAATTTTCTTATTGAGGGAAAAATCTGACAATGTCCCATTGTTCAAATCCCGGTGATGGACAACAAGGTGAGAATTAGCCACGCAGATGATAAATTTGCCTGGTCATTTTTTTCAATATCCTTCGTCAAATGATTTAAATAAATGGACTGTTTAAAGGTTTTGAGTAGTAAATTAGGACTATTTCTTAATATGTTTTAGCCAACTTTATGCCACCAAGCATAAGTTAAGTAATTTGAATTGTTGATGCTTGAGAAAACAGTAAATCTCACTTATAATTATCTTTTTATTAGTCATCGAAGGTATTTACTATCCACACTAAATTTTTAAACCATCAGTTAAAAAATTCTATATTCAGATATACAATAATTTAACACTGAATAGAAAAGCCAGCCTGATACCTAGCTAGTGACGACTGGGACAACAATTAGAACCAATAGGACAATCGCTTTCATTTTTAAAATTTATGACCAGAGTTAGCAGATATTTGAAAATGTACATTAGTAGATTGAGAAAATGTAGAGACCTAGAAGTTTTTAAGTGAACAATTCTAAGCGTGGAAGTTAAAAACAATTCATTTGTTATTTCAGATATCTCAAAACTCCTAGAAGGTATGATTCCTTTTGAAGTTATTCACTTGATCATGATATTTGGAAATATGAGCTTAGATGTTTTAGATAGCACTTAAAAAATGCATGTATCACTGTGCACCATTACGGTATCTAAATCGTAAAGTATTCAATATAATCGGATTCAAGTTTAAAAATTTTTCATGGAACGAAAAACTTGAGTTTTCTCCTGTTTAAAATAATGCTTTCTTATTTGCCATTCCTATATCAGAGGAAGAAGAATTTGGTCTACGGGTAATGCACGGAGAGAGTTAGCAACTAATCTCATTGATGCGCGTGTACACGGCCATATGGCAGAGCGTATGGATTAAGACGTGATAGACTGGCATTGATAAGTCGTTATTAGAAGGTCGGACAGACTGTACATTTGGTTGTGGGTTGTGGGTCAGGCGTCTAAGGTCGATAGACAGTTGGTTTGAACCGGAAACCGACAACAATGAAATTAGAATGTGCACTGTGAAATTAGCCTTTATTTACTAATATTAAGTTAGTTAATCTTGGGAGGGTTTTTTTGAAATCTCAAAAATAATATTAGTACAAAGTCAGGGGATCACTATAAGTCCAACGGAAAGAGTTTGCTTTTCTGCCTCAGCTTTTATTCATTCTCAAAAAAAAGATATATTTTTTCCCCTTAGATGCTCATAAACTGCTTGGTAATCTATTTCTCGTTCATATCTAAATGAAATGGCTACGGTTAAAGTTTATTTGTTCTATTTATCAAACTTTTTTTTGTTTTGAATCATTGATATCGATCTTACTTTTCCATAGGCCCTCCTGAGTTTGCTCCAACTAACACAGGTGATATATTCTTAATGCAAATCTTAATGATAAATTTATTCCTTTAATTTTGTTTGATATAAATTAGTGAAGTCTAAATTTTATGGTTAAAAACTGACGAAAAGTTCTCCCTGTCCTAAGATGGAGGTTGCCACTCCCCAGGTGGTCAATATTAATATTAGCTTTTATCTTTATGACCTGTAGCGAGACAAGGTAATTTTATTTTTAAACGAATGGAAAAATGTGAATTTCTAAATAGACCAAAAATTCTGAAGATTCGAGGCAGAGTAGCGTTTTAGAATGAAGTCAGAATATTCAATGGCTGAATTTATGTGCTTTGTTAGTCTGTCAGTCTTTAAAGCTACGAATAGGTAGATCTAAGACTTACAGAGATACAGTTAACTTATTTCAATCCTCAGGCCTCAAACAATGTGAATTTAGTTTTATATTGCACGATGTAATGAATAGTTCTGCTTTATAAATAGGTATCTTACGAGAAGCTCAAATACCAGGTAAACATTTTGAAACTATTAAATCGACGCTGGCTGCTTCTTCTTACAAAGATGTTCCTCCTATTTAGTTGGGGAGATTGAATTCAACGAAAGCGGTATTTAATCATTTGAAATTGATAAAACCGTTAATTTTTTCCCATTTTTGGGTAATTTCGTGCATTTATTTCAGAAAAGAATATACCGATTGATTTAATTGCTATGTTTCCACTTTCGGGTAAATATTGAGCTTTTATTGACTTGCCAAATCGAAATTGGGTGATTTACTTATTTTGCAACAGTCCTTGAAAGCATTCGCACAAAAGTAGAGGCCAATGAGAAAGACTCTAAGGATGGTAAAAAACCTTTTACCATATATGTCAGGTTATTTTTTCCTGAAAATTATTTAAATATTTTCATTGAAGATACTATTCAGAATCTACTGAGAGACATTGATAAAATAATAGAAGAGGGTAATTCAATTTGACAAATAGCAAAACGCATTATTTTAAATATCCACCGTAGGTTTGAAATAATCGAAATGTTACTTACAGATTGGAACACTTATTTTTACAAGAATCATATTTCGGCTTCGGGTATGCAAGTTGATGCAATCTTTTCAATTACAATCTCTTGTGTTCAAGCTAAATTCCCTATTTTATTTTGAAAGCATTACAAAATTCCCTTTTCACAATTCTCAATGTCATAGACGCTAAACGACAAGGTACTATCCTTTTAAAATTTCCTCTAATGAAAATTTCTTAATTTCAACTTATGTAATATTGCCTAAATTCAAACGGCAATTAATATATTAAAATGTAAATAAACGTTGTAGAGTTTAATGAGCTTTCAAGCGCCTATAACGAAGTAGAAAAGTACGAAAAAGAAAGTTAGTTGTTGTTATTATATTATTCCAGATAATACCAAAACTATCTTAAATTTAAATTAAAAACTTCGTGTTTATAATTGTTTGATTAGATAAACCAAGGAGAATTCAATTATCGGGTATAATTTTAGTCTTTTCTCCCTTACAATTCTAAATATGCGAAAGCTTTATGATAATAAACTATTATT